TTATTTAATAATTTGATATTTTTCATATATACTAATTATATGTATATAATATTGTTTTAAATTAATTATTGCGTCACCAGTCCGACCGAACGATTCGACCGATTGAACCATAACCCGTTGATCTTTCCGATTCGACTTCCGGTCCGGCTTTTAAAACATTGGTCTGTCTGTATCTTACTTTCTCTCACTGGTCCCACTCTACCCAAAACAAGAAGTAATAACCATTCCTCTAATTTTAAACATTAGAATTAGTTGAGGTTATTTTCTACTACTATCTCCGGCTCTAAATATAAGAGCTAGTTGACTAATTTGAGTAAATTAAAAAAACAAGTTAAGTTAGTTATTTGTAATAAATAAATGCTGTCTTTCCTCAAATATCTTTGCTAATCAACTTTGTTGGTTAAAACTATCATTATTAGAAGGACTATTTTGGGAAAAAAAATGAATAAATATAATAGACAAAATGGATTAGGTCTTGTATTTAGGATCAAAATAAAAGTCAAACGAGATCTTATATTAAGGAACAGAGATAATATTAAAGGTAAAATTTCTATTCTTTCATATCTTTAGATTTTCAAATGTGTGGGAATTTGAGTTAAGCCCGTTTGATTCAATTCTATTGCAAGCATGTAATAGCAATTAACATGACATTACTAAGAAGAGAATGTTTGGTTGCTCTTTAATTTAGTAATAGGATTTACCATGATAATGATAATTACCAAAAAATTGGTAATCCTCATTCACACCTCCCCCCATGTGAATACTCATTAACATCCATTGCATATTTGAAAAAGTCACATTTCCCCTCTATTTGTTTCAATAGTCTCCTTCGTTCTTTATCACCCACCCTCCATTGCAGCCGACCGCCATGAATGTTGTTGCACCCAGCACCCACCACGACGCTGACCATTGTGAACACCTCCGCCATACGTAGCACCCGCTGCCGCGGATGACCTGACCACCATGAACGCCGCCGTACCCGACACCTAACACCACCACTGTCTCTGCTCCATTTCTGCCCCTATGCTTTGCATTCGTCATGACCCCCAATTTATTCTCCTCTTGCTATATCATCAGCCTCCAGCATCCTTCCTTCAAAAATCTCATATATCTGCCTTCCCATGCCATCCAATAATGATCTTGTCTCTACATTTTTCGATCTGCGTGTTGTTTGGGTTTTCAGATCTAATTCTTTTTCTATTTCATATCCTTTCTTTCCATATCTGTTTTTTTTTATTTCCCTTATCTTCTTTGATTCAGATCTCTCTTGCTTTATAAACAATATCTTTCATTTGGGTTGATGAAGATGTAAAAATTTTGATGATGATAATAGTGGCCTTATTTTCACAGATGATTTTATCATTGGCTTTTATGGTTTCAGTCCGTTATGATAATGAATTAAATATCTAGTAAAATGAAGGATTGCTGTGTGTATTTTATCAGCAGTCTTGTCGAGTAAGAAGAAACGTTCGGGAAGGGAATGATTGTTTTTTGGTCAAGGGATAAAAGGGTCATTTCATAAATTTTATTTGTTTTATTGAAAATAATAAACATCATCTACCATGTTTTCTTTATAATATACCAAACAGATCATCAGTAATCAAAATTGCATTACAACCTACTGCATTGGACTGCAGTGTATTGTAAGAGCAAATTGCACTTGAACCAAATGGGCCTTGAGATTTACGGTGGTTCCACTTTGTTAACACCTTTTTTTTTTCCACAAAACAAACAAAAAAAGAAAAGGACAAAAGAATGTGTGGTTATCATCCGAGGAAAAAAAATTCTCCCTAGTTTTGATTACCTTACGCGGTTTCTGGGATTCCAAAACCACATGAAAAAAGTGAGTCCACCTAAATTAAGATAAAATATAATATGTCAACAGGGCCATTAATTTGCTGGTAAAAAAAAAAAAAACAGGGCCATTAATGCTTTTTTTTCCCAGTTTACCCTTAGTTACACATTATTATTACTAACTAGGGGTGTTTATGAGTAGGATCGGGCAGGGCATGACCCATGCCTATTGCCCAACCTAAAAAATGAGCAGGCTGCACCGGCTCTACCCAATAGAAATTGTAATTACTTTGGGCAGGGTAAAGGTGGGCTGGACGAGGTGGGTTTCCCTACCCAAGTAATGACACCTTACTCATATTATATGTAAAAAAAAATCTAATTATATCTTATAAATACTCTTGTGAATTTCAAATGCATTTATAATTTCATATCTTAAAATATTTCAAAATAAGCTGACGTTTTTTATCTTAAAATATAAAACATAATGTAAGTTAAAATCGGTACAGTTAAATGTTTATCTCCTATATATTGAGGTTATCCGTGTGTTTATAATGAATATATTTGTATTGGCCAAATAAACTATGATATACAGATCACATTGCATTTAAAAATATATACTTAAAAATTACCTTATATATGTATATGAATATAAAATATGAAAATTAATTAGTAAAATTCTGGATTACAGCTACCTCTGCTATTAACTCCTAAGGCTTTGGCAAGAAATAACAAACATTCAGTTATTATTATCTTTACCTACAGTTTGAAACTTGTAGCCCCAATGGCCTAGCCTCAAAGTTCAATCAATTTGGTTAAATTAATAAGTAATGCTCAAATAATACACTCTAATAGGCAAATAAATGAATAAAAATTTGATACTATGGAAGAGTGCAAGCAACAAAAAAAACAATTTTTTTGGGCCAAAATTAAAAGGGATAGTGGTTGAAAAATAATATTATAATACATATAAGACTAAAGTATGCATTTGGTCCTTTAACTTTGTATAAGGTTTCAATTTGGTCCCTTAACTTTAAAAAGCATACATTTGGCCCTTTAACCCTAAAATCATTAGGTTTCAATGATTATTTTTTTTGTAAAAATCATGGATGTTTTGAAAATTAAACTTAACATGTTAGTACTTGAGAATATTTTATCAATGTTTAAGATCTTAATCTCATCATTTTTTAAAAAAATTTTAGAGTTAAAGAGCTAAAAGTATGCTTTTTAAAGTTGACGAACCAAATTGAAATCTTGTACAAAGTTAAAAGATCAAATGTATACTTTAGCCTATATATAATTATATATTTTTTCTGGTAGGGCCAAATATGCAGGCCTGTGATAAGCCGAGCTCAAAAATACCCATTTTTGTTCGGTTCTCTTTTTATTAGACCAAGGTGGGCATTTTTTTTTGGTAGGCATAACAGGCATCTGCACCTCATGAACACTTCTATTATTCATGTAAATAACTTTTCACTAGCTTCTCGATATTTGTTATAAGGGTAAGTTTGGAAAATTTTATATTTTTTGAACACATTTAATGATATAATTACTATTTCTTGATTCGTGTGAATTAGCTTGTTAACCCTTTGTGATATGGACAAGAGGGAGTACTGTTTGAGCCATTTTTTTAGATAAAACTGATCTACTGTTAAAACCAAACCCATTGACCCTTTCCTACTGACTCTAGCTGTATAATTTCTTTCGTTTTATATATAATTGATTGTTATATATATATATATATATATATATATATAAATACATCTTATTATAATAAACAGACTCGTTATTAGAAAGCAAGCTCCCTTGTGAGTGAAAATTCACAAATTCAATCCTGTTTATAAGTTCAAGCCGTCAGTATTTGCCAAAAAAAAATTATTAAAAAGTAAGCAGAAATTGACAAAGTTGATAATCATAAAGTGCACTTTATACATACATACACACACACATATATATAACAACCAATCAAAACATACTCATTCAACCAAGAATAATCTCAAGTCTTCCATCACACACATACACAAGAATAGCAGCTACCATAATTGCAGTACATAAGAACAAGCTCCTCGTCATTAAGCATTACAACTTATGACTGAACCTGTTTTTATTCATATATTACTTATGACAATAAGCACTTTATTAGGACTTGAATTAAGATTCGAATCCCACGATATACCCACCATATGTTATCTCGATGGACAGGCTTAGAATAGGGGTGGGCACTAGAGGGCAAGATGAGAACCCATGTCTCTGGTAACATCAGCAACCAACTTTGTAAGAGTGTGAGGATCAGGAATGTGACCTTTCAGCTTCTCATATTCCATGGTGACGTGCACCAAACTCCCTTTATCCTTTGGAGTTGCCTGCAGCGTTATGGCCATGCTCTTGAAATCCTTCAGGATATCTCCCTCCACAACTCTGAAAGTGATCAAGTTCTTGCTCGCATCTACGGCATGGATCTTCTCCTTGGCCACACAGTTTTTCCCTTCTGTTAATTCATCACAATACTAGTTCAGTATCATGTTCAAAGGGATGCTCATTAATTCTTTGAACTTGTAGGGTAAAAATGAAAGGGAAAATGGCGACTTGGCACCTTATAAGAAGAATAAAGCAGAAATAATTATGATGTCCCAAAGAAAGAATATGATTACCAAAAGGTCCAAATGACAAATAAGCAGCATAGATCTTCTTGTCATATTTTCGGTACTGAAACTTATCATTCACTTATTATTGGTAATTATGTTCCTTCCCAATAAATAACAATGAAGGACATCATTATTGACTCGGATCGGAAATAACTGCAGCTCGGTTATAAATCATGAGGACTCAATCAGAAGCAGCACTTCACTCTTCGAAGTGTCGTTTTCCCAGAAGAAAACCAGGAGAAGTACTGAAGAGAAAGTGTACATACCTACCTTACTCTCCCTCTCTACACACACACGCGCGCGCGCGCGCATAAATGAGTAGTTGAGTACTTACCATGGACATAGTGCCAGGTAATGACAGAACCGAGTTTGCCCCAGTTTGCATCTGTAGCAACATGTTGAACGTTGGCAGGAGAAATATTAGGAATGTGGTGTGGCTTGGAGGTCATCAATTCATGAAACTTGTCTGCAGAAGCATCAATGTGAACATCAACTTCCACCTTCCCAAATAACTGTTCCTCATGATCGCCTTGTCCTTGTGTGAGGTGTGAATCAATGTCTCTGCTAACCTCGGATGCGAGCTGCATCAGAGAATGAGGATCTGGGATTTGTCCCTGAAGCTTTTCGTACTCAAAAGTCCATTGAACCGCACATCCCTTTTCCTTTGGAATGGCTTGAATCGTGGCTTTGAAGCTCTTGAGATGTTCAAGTACATCGCCTTCTGTTATCTTCAAAGTGATTGAGTTCTTTGCTGGGTCTATTGCTTCAATCACAGTCTTGGCCACGCAGGTCTTCCCATCTACGTGCAGTCACAACTAATATCAGTCATTTGATCTGATAATATACATATCATATAGTGAAGCTTATTCAATCTCGAAAATGAACGAAAATCATCAATTAAAAAAAAAACACTGTCGACATGATACTGATAAATTAAAATTTAGCTTACCAAGAACATAATTCCAGACAAGGACAGAGCCAACCTCTCCGAAACGACCTTGATGCTTAGTCACAGCCTTGACTTTCCCAGGAGCAAGGTTGGCAATGTGATGAGGATTGTTGCTGAACATTTCATGAAACTTCTCAGCAGAAGCATTAAGGTGAACATCTGCTTCAAGCTTCCCGAATAAGTGAGCCATCTTTGTTTCTTTTCTGTTTGTGGTGATCGATATATAATGCAAACCCTAATTCAAATGCACAACGAAGGCTTAGGCCTTAGCCCTTTATATAGGAAATTTGAGCTAGTTCGAAGGGTCCTTATGTAATAAATATCAACAGTACGTAGTCCCCATGACCTGGTTCGCAATGAATATTTTTCCCTTCTTTTCTTTACAAATGTAGTCTATTTTAGATTAATTTTAATCTTTTACACATATAGCATTGCCAGATCTTACGCGTCATCAATATCAACATGAATTATTGCACCCAAGGTGGTTGACCTCATCAGGTGTTCTACTGTACAAAGATATCATGATAGGGGTGTTTTTGTGATGATTGGGGATTATTTTAATTTAAAAGGCCATAATAAATATTTGACGATTAAAAAAAAGTTCAATAATCTGCCTTACACTGACGGCACGGAAGATGATTAAAATTTTGAATAAAATTTTATCCTTTAATTTATTTGAATGGTTCAGGTTTATGTAAAACTCATTATTCATAGAAAAAATTGTTATGAGTACCTTAAATTCATCAGATCTGGACCATTCAAATCTTATTTGAACAGTTTATGTTTTAAATTTTAATGAATTATTTTTAAATAGAAAAATATTTTTTTAAAAAATAGTAGTTAAGAGATTATCTTTACTCTATAGCATATACCTATTAAAATAATTATTCTAAATAAATAAAAATAAAAAATTAAATCTAAACCATCCACTAAATAATTCAAATTTGATGAGCTTAGAATGAGTATGGGAGTAGTTTAGAATGAGTATATACTAACCTCAGTCCTAATTATAAGACCTCATTTATAGTCTACAAATGAGGTCTTATAATTAGAACCAAAACTGATATAATTTATTTTCAAATTCTATGCAGCATAGCTAGTAGATCATTTACATCATTTAATTTTTCCCCCGACAATTTTGTTGAGCTATCATCAAAAGCACTCAATAATATAAAGAAAATTTAGACATAAAAAAGGGGGCTGACAATAGATGTACGTTGCTTTATATTATCTTCAGTCCTTAATATAAGAGTTAGTTAACTAATTTAAGAAAATTAAGAAAATTTGTTAAGTTAATTATTTATACTAAATTGGTCCTGTCCTCCCTAAAATACCCTTATTAATAATTTGTATTAGTGAGAACTACTATTTGATAAAATATTTAACATGTACAATTACTATAAGAATTACTTTGAAAAAAATAGATAAATATAAAGGACATAATAGATAGGGGTCTTATATTTAGGATCAAATTAAAAATTAAACTAATTTTTATATTAAAAATTGGAGGTAATATATGAGCTCCCTCTCAAGAGATAAGTTAGCAATAAAGAATGAACCCACTTGTCTTTTGATGTGGTTCCACAATGCCTTCAACTCATATCGACATTCACAAAAACGGGAAAAAAAAATTAAGGCCAATGCGCCTTCGCTTTATTTTGGGTTTGTTTACGTTAAGTTTTGTAATTTTTTTTCTGAGTTAAATTTAAATATCATTGGGGCGATTAAAGATGGTTCTCTTAAAAATGTTTTCTCAATTCATATAAATTTAACCACCGGCCGTTTGGCCTAGTGGTATACGTGTGTGTGGGGTGTGCGCGCGGGTTCGATCCCAATTCGTAGAAATTTAAACTCAAGGCCTCATGTTTAAGCAATTAAAACTCCTTTCACTAGGACCAACACATGTTGGTTGCCAAATTGAATTTTATTCTGATTGATTTTTCCAAACTAAAATTAGAATGAAAATTAATTAGTATAATGTAATTTATATTTAAATATGATTTCATAAAAAAAAATAGTTCCCCGTTAACTTATTTATATGATATATTTTATAAAAACTGAAATTAGAATAAAAAATAGTTTAAGGGTACGTTGGGCCACATTATTTATAATTTATAAATATCATGATTTTTATAAAAGCTTACACACATGTTAATTTGTTGATTCATATTAAGTAGAATATTGACACAGTCTGTAAAAATAGTTTAAAATGAAAGGATTTATAAATATTGACATTAATGTCTGCCCAACAATTAGGTTTTAGGACAATAATTCAAGTCACAAGAAATTAAACTAACAATGCAAAGGATATCACTGCTGGTAAAAAACAAAAATGCAAAGAATATCACTCTCTCCCGTCCTCAAATACAAAAACTAGCTAGTGGGATGTTTATTTTAGTTTTAAGTATAATGTATTAATTCGAAAAAGAAATTAAAACCGAAATACCTAGCTAGTTATACATGTTACATGTCCATGACTTTGATGTTTGTATTTACAGCACAATTATATATTTGTTTTTATTATTCACATGTATGATTTTATTGGAGGTAATTCTGTTCAAAATATGTTTGGGTATTAAATATGAACACTTTTTTTTAATATATATATAATATATACATATATATGGTGTCAAATAAAGTTCAGATTTTAATTTCATCACTTTCGATCGAATAAAAATAAATTTTAAAAAAGAGGGGGGGGGGGACGGACATTAGCTGGCGGAAAACTGCTTGAATGGGACCTACTCTTCAGTTGAATTAGTGGAATCAGGGAAATTAGGTGATCCACAGAAATGATTAGGGAACACTGGGTCCAAGGTCAGAACTACTAATATTATCTACCATTCAATGTTTAGTTTTGAAACACGGGACGTCACCTATATTTGACTTGATTTGATTTTATTTGGAGACATGTTTTTTTTTTTTGGCAATTATAAGCTTGTTTGGAAAAACGTTTAAAACACTTATAAACACATTTTATGTAAAATTAGATAAATTTTATCTCACATATTTACCTCGTATTCCATAAATTATGATTAAAATATTACTTATAAGCTATTCTAAATAAACACTATATTATGATCAAGTAAGTTAGTTTTTGATTATAAAAACTGGTTTGTAGCATAAATTATAGGGAGAATTAGAATAAAGGACATGTAGAAAGAAATATTTATTAAAAAAGACCATAAAAATTAGAATTACTTAAAAGGACCAAAATTTAAAATATTGATTCTAAAATGCCAAATTATCTCTATCCCACCTCCATCTCTCTCCGTGATTTTTTAGTTGTTGCTTTCCTTCCCTACTATTTTATATTGTTGGGTATTGATTTTAAAATAGTGTAATTACATTTTTCCCGCAACTTTTTCAAAAAGTTAGAACTTCCCTAAGCTATATATACACAACTTTTTTCTTATTCATACTCAGAATTTGTAATTATTGATAACATTATTATTTCAAGATCTTTAAGTTTTTTGTCACAAACGATAACATTCAAAACTATTTGTTACTCATAGTCCTAAATCTAACATTTGATGGTTTTTCAATTTTGTATAGAATGAGATGTGACAGTTGATTGGAAAAGAAGAATAATTATGGGTGATTTAGTATTTTTAAAATTGTATTTTAATTTTTGGTATTTTAAAATAATTATGATTTTTAAGATTCTCTAAAATAAATATTGCTTTTTCTTGGTCCTTGGTTCTAATTCTCCCTAAATTATACTATAAATTGACTCTCATACTTAAGATCAGAGGTAGTATTTGATTCCAATTTAAAGTGAGTTCAAACTTAATATTCAATCTTGTTTAGTTTTGAGTTTGGAGTACAGTAGTCCCATTTTTTTCCTTTTGCCATTGTATGTCTTTTGTTAAACATGGATCATACCCTTATACAATATAAATCTAAAATATCGGCGGAAATTATTATACAATTTTAAGAAAGGAATTTAATCATCTAAAATTCCCATAACATACAACTGAAAAACACGCCATGATAAATTTCAATATATATTATGACAACAAATTTATACTGCTGAGTTATTATTACAACATTTTATAATTAAATTTATTTTTTGAGGCCTCATGATAATTATCCCAATCCATTACCTAAAAATATGAAAATTAAAAACTTGTTTGGTTTCTTATTTTAAAAATAATTTTTTAAAAAAAAAGGTAAAATAGAGGTAAAAAAAAATTGTTTGGTAACTTGTTTTTAGTTGATTGTTTTACAAAAAGTAGTAATATATTTTTAAAAACTAAATAATCAAAGCAATTTGTAGATTGTTTTATCTTTTGTATTTTTTTTAATTTTTTGTTTTGGAAAAATTGGAGAAACCTTCTTCCTTTCTTGCCTATGTGATTTTTTATATTCTTTGTTTTAAATATGACTTTTTTAAAAATAATTATTCAAACATATTTTTTTCATTCTCAAAATTTTTTTAGGAACGAGAAAATAAGAAAACAAAACAAAGAGCCCTAAGATTTCGGAGACGAGCTAGGCTGTTCCAATAAAGCCCAATACATTGTCTTAAATCTTTTTATTTGTTTTGAGCCACGCCTGATATTTACGATTAGATAAAGTGAGAAACTCAATTGGATATATAAATTGGGGTTTTAATTATGGAACTAGATTGAGTTCAAACTTTAAGCGTTTATTTTCTA